CCTCCCCCCCTCCCTGGCACTGACCCCCTGCCCCAGCTGGTGCTGTACTTCGTGATGGACGTGCTGCAGGACCTGCCTGGGCTGCCTGGACTCTTCGTCGCCTGCCTCTTCAGCGGGTCCCTCAGGTGGGTGGGAAGCTGGAGGGGAACTGGTAGGGCTGGAGGAGCCCAGCTGAGCCCCCGCCCCCTTACTTTCCCCCCCCAGCACCATCTCCTCTGCTTTCAACTCGCTGGCCACGGTGACCATGGAGGACCTGGTGCGGCCCCACTGCCCTGGGCTGTCGGAGTCACGGGCCACGCTGCTTTCCAAGCTGCTGGGTGAGGGAGGCGGCATGGGGAGCCCCCGGCAACGGGTCCCCAGTACTAGAGGGATCTGCAGGCAGCCCAGGGATCCTCAGCATAAGTGGGGGTCCCCAGGACCTGGGGTTCCCCAGCACAGGGGTTCCCCAGCACCAGGGGTTCCCCAGCACCACTGTGACCCCCCCACTCCTCTCCCCAGCTTTCGGTTATGGGTTGCTGTGCCTGGGCATGGCTTATGTCTCCTCCATGCTGGGTCCCGTGCTGCAGGTAGGGGCGGGGTGTGGGACCCCCAGATCTGGCACCCAGCAAGCAAGGGGCCAGCACTGAGGGCCATGTCCCCACAGGCAGCCATCAGCATCTTCGGCATGGTGGGGGGGCCACTCCTGGGTCTCTTCTGCCTGGGCATGTTCTTCCCCTGTGCCAACCCCACGGTGAGTGTTGCCCCATCTGGCTGGAGGCACAGACCCCCCTGGGGGGGCAGTGATGGGGGGCTGGGGTTCCTCAAATCCACCCAGGGCTCAGCACCCTCCATCTTCCTCCCTCTGTACAGGGTGCTGTTGTGGGGCTGCTGGCTGGCCTGGCCATGGCCTTCTGGGTGGGCATTGGCAGCCTGCTGCACAGTGGGGGGGGTGCTGGGGGGGCCCCTCCACCCAACAGCACCATGCTGCCCCCCGATAGCAACCTCACCACCCTCCTTGCCACCACACTTCTGCCCCCCACGCCAGCCCCCTACAGGTGAGCGGGACGGGGTGTGGGGAGCAGCTCAGCACCAGGGTGCTGTGGGGCAGGGGTTGCTGCTCTGTGCCTCCCAGCCCTGACTCTCACCCCTCCACCTGCCCCAGAGGGCTGCGCAAGTTCTACAACTTGTCCTACATGTGGTACAGTGCCCACAACTCCACCACCGTCATCCTGGTGGGGCTCTTGGTCAGCTTCCTTACCGGTGAGTGGGGGGGGGAGGGGGGGGTTGCTCGCACGCA